AAATATGACCCCTAGGCTATGGAAATCGGAGAGACATTATTCCAAGAGAAACCCTAGGCCGATTTCTAGCATCCTCCATCCTCTCTCTTATTGCCTTCTTGCTACTTGGTGTTTGTGATCCATTAGAGGAATTACAATTGTGATTCTAAGCTCAAGCAAAGAAGATTCAAGCTATTTGAAGAGGTAAACATCTAGATCTGATGTTGTTTGTTATTTTGATAATATGTATGCTAGTTTAGGGTTTGCAAGACTTGGATTCAAAGCATGTACAATAGAGAAACCTAGATCCAAGCATTAGGGTTTGTATGAGCACATAGGATTGTTTCTTATGCATAAAACCCATCAATAAGAACACCACTTTCCAACTACTACCCGGAAATACATCACTCTTATCAACCCCAAATTTATTGTATTCTAAGCACATGGACTTGTATAATGAAGAAGCACAATAAGGGTTTCTTGCGTTAAAGAGTGTTAGGAACACCATGCTACGCCACCTCCACATATATGATGGGTGGAGTTCATGTGTTACCAAGTTGCCAAATAATCACCACACACCCAATGAAATTGATCTCCCAATATGATGCCAAATTGATTTTACAAAACACCGGAACACGGTCTACTTTTTCTTTTGATAAATATGTCAATTACAAATAATAAAATACCAACTAACATGCATATATTGTCGATGTATGACGTGTTCTTTGGAAAATAAAAATGTTTTCGAAAGAAAACTAATTGATACAATGAGACTATTCACCAGAAAATGACGATTCGACACGTCAAAAGGAAATTAATCGGAAAAATGAAATTATTAACCACCATTGCATTCGCGTCCCGCTGCATCGCGCAAGTTCCCTACTTCTATATATATATATATATATATATATATATATATATATATATATATATATATATATATATATGAAATTAAAAATGTTTAATAGGAAAACAAAGAGAAAAAAAAAAGTAAAATGATATTTATAAATTGACCAAGGTTCAAAGACGTACGACATAAATCTTTTAAACCACTGCAATATATTTTATTATATTTGTAAAAATTAAATTAAAAATCTCCCTATCTAATAAACAAAACCATTCTGCCACGTGTCCACTCAAAGCCACTCATTTCATACAAAGCTAAATACCAATTTTGCCCCTACTTTATTTCACCGTATTTTCAATAAAAATCACCTCATCAAAGTTCTCTTCGCCATTCTTCAATTTCAGTTGTTCGATCTTCTTCTGCTACAGTCCTAACCGCAATAACTCTGTATTTAGAGTTTTCTTGGTGGTTCTTCTTCTCCCCATGTTTTGCACCATAACTGGTTGTCTCCTCCAAGATCGTTTCATCGATTGTCAATTCTTCTTCTCCCCACATCTTCTTCTCTGATCTCTGACTTTATGATTGCCTTTTTATGTTGCCTAATTCATCGATTTCATCCATGGAAATTAAAGTAAGGTATGTTTCTCTTAATAACCTTTGATTCTCGTCTACTTTCTCCTGAAATCAAAGATAGCTTACCATATGAAAATTTTAATTTCAATTTTGAAATCATGTTTTTCGGTTGAAGTTGTATAACCCTAGAAATAGTTCTCTTATATTTTTCTTGACAAACACGGTGGTGTCAGGGATTGTTATCGTCCTACGGCAGCGACAATGCCAACCCATATTGTCTCTGGCAATGATTGCTATTCATCCATTGTTCTTAATGATCGATTTTTCTTCCATACTTACCTTCAAGATAATGAAGTTGTACACCTAATTGAACCTATTTTTCCTCAAAGATTGTTGCAGTCTTCCGGAAGACTTTGAGGCTAACTAATGAGAGTCGCAGAAAGATTGCATCTGGGAAGATTGTTACATTCTTTTAAGATCATTTTTATTATCTTTCTAATTTTCTTTCCATTTCTTTTCCAACAGCAAGTAACCCAATCACTTCACACGTTATGGTATGCACCTTTTCGTATCATTCTTGCTTTGGTTCTTCTCTACCAACAACTTGGTGTTGCTTCAGCCCTTGGTGCATTATTGCTAGATCTCATGTTCCCCATACAGGTACTATAACTCATACATACATACATACATACATACATGTATGTATGTATGTATGTATTTTCATCAAACTCAAAGTTAAATTATTATATGTTATACGAATATTATCCATCTCCCAAATCGATTTCCATGTAACTATACGTGTTTCAATACAACGGAACAGGGTCACGATATCGTTCAATTCCCTTTTAATTAGTTTTTGTTTTTTCATTTTTACCTACTTTAGCATTGTAATTTAATTTATCACAGTAAACCCATGTTTGTTAAACTTTTCTTAATTTTTTTCGAAACTAAGGATGCTCTTTTAAAAATAATTACATGTTAACATTACACGGGCAAAATGGTCATATTCTTATTTTGGATGAATGTTTTTTTTTGTTAAATGTTAAATGGTCATTTTTTGCCATCTTTCTTTACTTTAATCTTTTTTCCATACAACCCCTGTTTGAAACAAGCATACGTGTTGTTTTACAGGATCACAAAGCACATTCTGCTCCTAAAGGATTAAGTAGCACTTCACAAATTACAAAAATGACCATTTTGCCCCTGGTCATACATAAATAGCCACACACACATAGACAGATTATATGTATTTGTTTGAATAAAATTATATATTATTATTTTTAAGAGCAATTATGAATAAGTCTTTGTATGTAATCCCGTTTACTCTATTTTTCAATTCAAAACAAAAAATATGCTTGAGCTATGTTATTGTATCTATGTTTTGTCCGAGAATATTGTGTTGTCTTCAAATTTTTTTCCCAAAAAAACAGAAAGTGGACAATAAAAGGATTTAAGGAATTGTGTGTCTTTTATTGGAGAATAATGTGTTGTGTTTCAAAAAAAATTTCCATAAAAACAGAAAATGGACAATAAATTTTGTATAATATGCAAAAAATAGTTGATTTGTATCTTTATTTTCTAATTATTTCATCTTATTTTGTATTTTCATGTAACAATTACTGCTCTTTCGATTATTTCATTTTGGGTTTGAAAACTATTTTACTGTTTTATAAACCTTTTCCTTGTCGCAACTTATCCTGTTTGATTCAAAATCTTTGAAATTTCTTATTTTATTTTAAAAGTTCAGTTTTAGCTGGTTATGAAATGAATGATTGCATATAAAGCAGTGTAAAGGCCTTGGTGAGAGATAAGTTCACAAACTAAATTTGGGTGTAGAAGGAGAAGTATGTATATTTATGTCGGTTCCTCGTACAGTTTTCTTATATATGCCCGTTGGGGTTTCAATTTGGACTAATTGTCATGTTATTATTATTTCTAATGATCTATTTTGCATTTATTTGACAGATGTGGAGCAGCTATTATGAGTATACTTCAATAACATTTAAAAAGATTTTAAACAAAATTCTATTTTGAATACATTAATTTTGCTTGAAAAATCGGATAACATTCAACAAGCAATTCCAATCCACATATAAATAGTTTTAACGAAACTATAATAATACGTATACATTTTAATATATCTGATTATACAGGGTTTATTTTGGTAACCATTAAAAACATTTTGTATATAAATAACCTCATACTTTGCTTAATTACGTGTATTTCCATACCAGATGGGCTAACTAATGAATTTCCATTCATTTTTGCAGAGTGCTAAATCGTAGGCCTAAAAAGAAGTTTGTGAGCAAGAATTTGAGATAATTTTTGTTGCTTCTGTCTAAATGCTTTAATAAAGTATCTGTATTTTTATCAAGTGGAATTTTTAATAAAAATATCTTTTTTGTGTCGTATGTTTATTAAGTGATTGTTTACATTTTATTTTTATATGATGTTAGTTTTTTTGCATCACACAATATTTTATTAACTTTATAACTATTGTGATGGTTATAAAACTTTTTTAGTTAAAATTTGTTACAATTTACGTTAAAGTTGTCGATATTGTATATAAGTTTGTTCCCTAGGCAATGTTTACTAATTGCAGGATATTACCTTCTCTTTTATACATGTTTTGATGAATTTACCATTTTGATTTTATTTAAAATTTTATAATACTTTATGTGATTTTGTTGATTTGATTTCGAAGATGACAAAGTAAGAACATAGCAAGGTTTGAAACCAATGTACTTCATAAACGAAGAACAGGCCAATTGGAAAAAGAAAAAGTAAAAGTAATTTTAAATAGTTGGTGTTTACTTCTTTTAGAGGAAAATACTAAATTTCAAGGTTTTAATTTTATTAATACGACCTAATTAAAACATTAGGTATGATATAATAAACAATGTTAATCAGTTTTGTTCATGATATTTATTACTACTAAATGAATTTGTTTCATTTTCATGGTAATGATCTTTGCGAATTCATATCTAACAGAATGGATCTCAAAGACGTACAATAAATTATGTAAATGCAAGAAATGACACCATCCAAAAATATTGACAATTAAGTATAATTTTTTTTTTATCTTTTGTAATAAGTGGATTTCATCTTTGGTCAATAAAATTTGTAAAGCACAAATTTCTTACAAAAATTAATACATCCCATACTCCAAATTAACAGCATCATCATATTAACATTTATGGTTCCTAATTCACAAAACTATACATAACCAAATAATTTATATAAAATTATAAAATTTAAGAAATTATTTATTATTAGTTTAATAAAATTTTATAAATCTTTTACCTGTGGTTTTCACGGGTTGTAGCCTAGTACGAATATAAACAAAAGAACCAAAGCTGTAATTTACTCTATCCAAAATTAGGTTATTTATCTTCAAAAATCATATGGTCATGTTTTAGAATATCTTTTTATTTTTAAACAAAAAGATTTCGATCCAAATTATAAAAATTACAAATTTTAGCTTTCACCTACATTTTTTTCAAAAATATCTTCTGCAAAAAAACAATAAATTCTGTTTTTTTCCTTTATCTTCACAATCACCTCACACTATTAAATTTCCGCCATATTTTCCCGCTAAGCCATGAACCTTCTTCTTCCTTCTCCCACACTCTGTTCTTCCTCTCCTCATTCCTCACACCGCCCTCCGCCGCCGCCCCACCGCCACCTCCACTTCCGAACATCACACCGGGAAAACCTCCGGTACCTAAAATCCCTTGGTATCATCCAACCAAGCTTCACAAAACCCCCATCCCCCGAAACCCTATCCCAAATCCTCTCAACCATAAACTACTTCAAATCCAAGGGATTTTCAGAGCCAGATTTCCCACGAATCGCCTTTCTCTCCCCACATCTCTTCTCTCCAACCTTCAATCCCATCACCATCGATCCAGTTTTCCATTTCTTAGCCGTCGATTTAGCCGCATCGCCGGAGGAATCCCGTGGATTGATTCTCAAATGCCCTCACATCCTCGAATCGGACCCAGAATTCTGCTTGAAACCAACCCTCGAGTACCTGAAAAAATTGGGGATTACACGGTTGCAATCTCCAACGACCTTGAACGCTCATTTACTGGATACAAGAGTGAGTAAAATGGAAGAGAAGATGAGATTCTTACGAGGAGTTGGGTTTTCCGATGAGGAATCGAGAAGGGTTTGTGGGAGGTTTCCGGCGATATTTGGGTATGGTATAGAGAATAATTTGAGGCCGAAATTTAAGTATTTGGTTATGGAGATGAAGAGAAATGGGAGAGATGAAGTGAATAAGTTTCCACAGTATTTTGGATTCAGTTTGGAGAATCGGATTAAACCCAGACATTTGCATTTGAAACGAAGGAATGTTGATGCTGCTGAGGTACCATTGAATCGGATGTTGTTGTGGAGTGATGAAAGATTTTTCAAGAAATGGAAATAATTTATTTTCATGATAAAAAATAATAAGAATAGATGTGAAAAAATAGCAAATTACTAAAAATAGCAACATGCTTCGAGTATTTTTATTGATAAATAGTTAAATACAATCTTAGTTACATAAACCTACTAACATTTATTTTTCAAAATAGCAACAAACTTATTTTTTTTTTATCGATGATAATATTCAAATATGCACTTCATAATAGCAAACACATTTATATTGTTATCATAAAGAAAAAGAAAACTTACTTACAATGCCTGACTCATAATTTAAAGTTACATGCATCCAACTTAAACATTTAAAAAAGATTGGAGATTGGATTAAATTGTTAATAATACCAAAGATATCATTCAATATTTTACAATTATTCTCAACAAGTTTTCATATTATGAAAACAAACTACAAGTATATTGTAATGTAGCATATCTTTCTCGATTTCACGAAGACAATCATTCATAAACTAATCACTCATTTTATTATGCAAATTGTTGTTTATCAACTTTGTAAACCATCCTTGTTATTGATTTCCAACTTCTATTATTTTTAACCGATCCTTTTAATTCTTAGCTCTTCTTTTTCTCTTGAATACACTTTATTCCCAAACAAAATGTGTCCAAACTCATAAACAAAGTATGTCGTCTAAAAATAAGGTGTCTCCATGGACACCTTATATATATTGTAAGCTCTAACTTGTCCTTGGATAATAGTAATATTAATAAATCAAATAAAATAAAAAAGTAAATTGTAGCCTCCAACCAGGGACGGTTTTAAGGGGTTCCCGGTGTGGCACCGGCAACATCCAATTTTTCTGTCCGCAGTGGAAAAAAAATCGGTTTTTGATTTTTTTTTTACCTATTTTTCATGTATAGGCAACACATATTTATCCCAACAACACCTACTACGTATTTCTACGTCCGTCCCTGCCTCCAACTGTTAAGGGATGGAGCAAGTTGCTGGTTTGAACCGGAGACATCAGTTATATGATTTAATTCTCAAATCTCCAACCACCGGCCGTAGTAAACAAAGTACATTGTTGTCATTGTCATTGATAAATAATCAAAGGTTATCATTATAAAAACAATTATTGCTATTAGGCTACACTGAGTGGCTTGGAGAAGACCTTGACACTGCTGATGTGGACTCGGCACACGCAACGCTTTGACTGTAGCAGTAGAGGCAGCTCGGTAGTGGTCCTCGGCACTCCTCTGTCGAATCTCTCTTTTTTGACCACCAATTCCTTTTTTATTTTAGTTATTTTATTTTAATTATTTTATTTTTTTCAATTCTGAAACTCTATTGTTGCATGGCAAACCATCCCCTCTAAATGGTAAGATGTTGAAAAGGTATGTAAAAAGTGAGGTGACGTCTCCATGACTGCAACAAAGATGTCGTAAAAGTGGCACCACTCCCTCTAGCTTATGGATAAAAAAAAAGTATATGCATGCTATTAAATAAAGAAACAAATTACTTTTTGATAAGGAAAGAAAAAGTACATTGATCTAGTGGCAAGTCTAGAATAAAAAACCATATAATTCTTAGGTTCAAATGTTCAACCAAGTTGGTTCAAAAGAAAACCTAATTCAACCAAAATCTGTTTAACCAGAAAATGTTTCGACTAAAACCAACTTACATTTGAACAAGACCTTAACAAAGTTTATGTGAAAAAGACAACATCTATTTATAATAAAAGACCCTCCACAAATTTTTTTTTGGAGCGAAGGACTTCTTCCTACCACCAAATATGTTATAATCTCAAGTCTACTTACCTTTTTTTACTTCCTTTATTTTGCCAAATATTATAGTGTAGGTCTTCAAATTCTCAATGATAGGTTATAAATTTTAAAGTATGTAACTTCTAATAAATTTTATAAATTTAGGTGGGTCAAAGGACCACCTTCCACAAGCATAGACTCTGATAAATTTTTAAGTATGTAACTTCAGATGACTTTGGCTATTCCACACAATTTGCGCCTAGCAAACTGGCACCAATTCAATTCCGTTTGTGCAAATAATTGATGTTTTGCCCAATTTAACATAAGAGAAAACACAAGAAAAGCAATTAAAGAAACGTTTGTTATTCTTTAAAACCAAAAGAAAAATATACTCATTGGCAAATGACAATACATTCCAAGAAACCACTCTCAAAAAATGTCTAATACTTCACTAAGGGACACAAAAACCAAGTACATTATATATCTCTCTCTCTCTCTTCTACAACCAACTTCTAAACATCAAAAAGATAGAATATAAAAATGGAAATATGTAGTAAGATTGTAAAAATTAAAAATGGATTTATTGTTATTAGTATTAGTTGGCTACTATATCATGAATCGCATCACTCACGGATTCATCTTCAGATCTAACCGCAAGTTTCATTGCCACTTCCTTGGAACTATCAACCCCAAATGACAAACGAACCAATACCTTCACATTCCCTATGTATACACCCGATAACAAGCACGAGTGTGATCTCGAGTTCCCCGCAACCACCTCCGTACCCTAAAAATAACACATAAAAAAATTGTAATTTTTAGGTGGGACCATGTGGAAAAGACGTTAATGCCCTTGTTGAAAGTAGTAGTAGTAGTACCTCGCAAGGTTGCATGCCAAGAAGGGTAATAACGGCACTAACGGCATCACTCAAGCTTTCCCTTGGACCAAGGCCGTATTCGTCAACTCGCTCAAAATCAGGGCCAAGGCTTTCCCATGCGTTTCTAAAATTGGAAACACCGACTTTAAGCATGTAGTCGGCTGCAACAATCTCTGAGTCTTCCAGTTGATATTCGTCTTCTACACCATCTTCCTCAACCTCACCAGTTGAGGGATCAACCTGTGCAAATATAACATGATTGAGAAATGTTTCTTAAAAAAATAAATAAATAAATAAAAGAATTATTACCTCTTTTACGAAGAATTTCAAGACATTGGAAAATCTGCCAACAGCTGGAGTGCCTTCGGGTTTCTCGAATGCAACAAATGTTTGACCGGGTGTATCATATGGTAAGGCTTTCAATGGCTTGGTTGCCACCTCAGCAAATTCTTCTGCTTCTGAAGCATCCACAACAACCGCAACCTAAAACCAAACATGACAGTTTTCTTTCTTTAAATTTATATATTTAAAAAAACATAACTTATTTTAATTTAGGGCTTACGTTTTCTAGTAACTGTTCAGGAATTGTGTTGGTACAGTTATACTGGAACACAACATGTTTGTCGAAAATGTGTTTGACAACATTAACTGCGTATTCTGTTTCAGCTTCAGTCAGCTCCACTGGTGCAGATGACTGGTTTGGAAATTGTAAAAATATAAGCATAATTAGCCTCGGTTCTTATGCAGACATGACAAGGTTATACTGTATTTTTTTATGAAAATAAAAGAACCTTGAAAAGTTGTCCAAAGGAAGAAAACTCTGGAATGGATGATAGTAGCTTCTCATATGTGTCAACTGTAGAAATGGGGGTGGCTGCAGGTGCACCAAGAGCAGTGGGCTTTTTACCAGCAGATTTTTTCTCTGCAAGTGGCACAGATTTCACTTCTCTGGGTACAGAACTGATATCAAAAGGCTCTTCCGAAGGTTCCTGTATTGTCAACAACCAAATTTTTTTAAAAAAAAAAAAGTGTTCAAAAAAATTGATTATTAAAAAGAATTAATTTTTGCACTTACGTAGTTCTTCAAACTGGTTTCCAAGTTGACAAGTGGGATATCAAGTGACCCGAAGAGAAATTCCTTCACTTCTTTATCAGTTTCAACAACTGAACCATCTCCTCCAAGAGTATTCAAATATAAAGTAGCCCTATCACGAACCTACATGTAATGCAAAAAATAAATATGTTTATTAATTATTTTAAAAAAAAAAATACTACTTTTAAAAATTTAACTGACCTCATCATCATTATCATATAAGCAGCGCCTCAAAAGAACGAAAATACGGGGCTGCAGTACATCATATTGGTTCATGTCCATATTAGTTGCAATAAACCCAACATCATATTTAATCTAAATTACACTTTTCGTCCCTGTACTTTATGAAAAAATTTACAGATTTGGTCCCTCAAAAGAAATTTTAAAATGTTTCGACCCCAAAATGAACCTTCAAGTGGATGCGGTGCATGCCATGTAAGATGACCATTTTACCCTTGCTTTTAAATTTATTATTGCAACTCGTTATTATCATTGCATCTATTATGGGAGAAGAAGAGGATGGGTACGCCATGTATAATGACCATTTTACCCTTGCATTTAAATTTATTATTGCAACTCGTTATTATCATTGCATCTATTATGTGGGGGAAGAGGAGGATGGGTATGGGTGGACCAAAATTATTGATACAATGGTAATAATAAAGTTTAATAATAAATGTAAGGGTAAGGGTAAAATGGTCATTTTTTACGTGGGGGTTAACAGATTAAACTTAATGGCACCCACTTGAGGGGCAAAAAGCATTACGAAACTTCATTTTAGGGACGAAAAACATTAAAGATTCTTCTCAGGGACCAAATCCGTAATTATGAACAAAACAGAGGGACCAAAAGTGTAATTCTCGTAATTAAAGTTACCTTCAAAGAATCAACCACAGCACCAAATTTTGCCAATGTGCTAACTGCACTAGCTCGAACAGTTGCATTCTCAAGTATGACACGGTTATAAATATATCTTATGTATTTGCTAGGATCAGATGCCTTTGGTCCCTCAACACCAAGAAAATGGAGAATCTGATCATCATAATAAATAAAATTTAAATAAATAAAAAAAGTAATAGAAATATAGTTTTAAGGAAATAAAAAAAAGTGACCTGTGTTGAAAGATAAGTGAATTCACAGTCCTCGATAAATTCACACAAGTGAAGAAGGCCACTTTCTTTTGCATCAGGAATGTCCCTTATGAGAATCACAATTGAATCAACAATTGCTTTTTTGTACTCAAATCCACCTTCTTCCCTCAAAATATTGCTTAAGAAATTCATCCTTGGTGACAAAAAAAGGTAAAAAACTATGAGAGTTATGATCATAGAATGTTTATATTTATTAAATTAAAAAAAGTGGAAACACTGACAATGTTCTGTACTTAAGGGGGAACTTCAAACACAAGGATCTAATGGCATCCACCACAACGATTTTAAACTCATCAGCAATATCAGACATGAAGTTTGTAATTTGCTTCATTAAACGATCAACACCTGATTCATTCCCTGTTTTCAGCAGTGTTGTAATGGCAAGTGTAGCAATGCTTCTATTTTGATCAGAAATCAAGCTCTCCATATCTATGTTACAGTTAGTTACTGCCATTGGGTGACTCATTGCCACCTGTCAAAATAAAATATACACATTAAAACGAATCAGCAAATATTCCATTATCAAGTTTCTTGGTTTTTGTCTTGAAAAGTTATAAAAATATGACCTTGTTTAAGGTGCGAACAGCAGCAAACCGAAGAACAGGTTTTGAAGAGCTTAAAAAGAGCTGTAGAACAGTAATTGCAGGAGTCAATTCTCTACTAGTAACATTGTTTAATTCCGTTATTGCCCTTGCAGCTTCAAAGATAACCATTTCTGCTTTGTGGCGAAGGCAACCTTCTAGAAAGTCATAAAATGGACGCTCACCACCTTGATTGTTCATACTTGATTCTCTAATAACCTAAAGAAAATTTGGAGGACAGGTGGCAATCATTCAGAGGTTAACCAACCAGCAATATAAGAAAATGAGAAATACATTACTTTAATTAAAGAGTACCTGACTTGTGTAACGAATTAAAAGGCATTGGGCTAAAGGTGAACGAACTGTACCCCTTGTTAAACTGGTAACTAATTTGCTCACAGCCAATCTGTCATTTTGTCTTATCTGAAAATATATAAAATTAATTAAATATGGACATTTTGGTCATTTTGTGATTAACCCTTTAGGCTTTAGTTATACCTGGTGGAGGAGAGCAAGTGCATGAAACTGTACAAGTGCAGCTCTTGATTGAACAGCTTCTTGTACCTCATTGCTCCATCTTTTCACAATCTCTGGATTTGTCTAAGATTACAACAATATAAGATAATTAAGGATTCTGTTAAGAGAATATCATTAAAGATAACAATGCTGATGATTGGTTATAATTATACCTGGAGCAAATGGATACCACTGACTAAAGCTGCACTAGCAACTACAGGATTTTTGTCAACAATAGCTTGTTTCAAGTACCTCTCTATTTGAGTAAGAAGTGTTCCATCTGTGATACGACAAAGAACACGGATAGCATTTGCTCGATACACATCAGTTTTGCTATTCATGTCCTTCATAAGGGAGCTTGTGACAATAATAACCTTTAGTGAAAAAGGAATGTGTATCGTGTCATTTAAACTTGAACAAAATCAAGATTCTGTGAGCTGAGAAAATGAAAGAGTGGAAGCATTATGTGTTACCTCGTCTGAAGAGGGAGAAAGCTCTTTTATTATCAAATACACCATTCTTCTTAAACCAATATCTTTAGCTTGGAAAAGTTTTGTCACAGAAAAGAAAACTTCTGTGGCTTCAACCTACAAATCCAAAACAGAAAAGATCATGTCAATGTTTATTTAGATGCCAATGGATACAATGACCTTATGCCCTTATCAATATATACATGGTACATTCATTGGTATGGATAGTTGGACACACTTTGTTTTGTATTTCATTTACAAGACCAGAAAAGATAAGACTTCTACATGTAGAAGACCACATATAGTTTTGTGTGACAACGTGTGGGATTATCTAAAGCTTATACTGAACCATATATCATTATAAGCAAGCTGTTGTGGTCTGTTAACACTTTAAACAGTCTTTACTATGAAATCTTACCTTCGTGAAGGTTTCCCCTTGATTTAAAAGGTAAAGCAGCTTTGTAATAACCTGGCAACAGAACAACAGCGTACAAATACAATCTGTAAGAATTTAATAATCTTAAATTTTAATAGCAAGGTACATAGAGAAGATAAGCACCTGGGAACACCTCCTTGAATCTAGCTGAGGATCATTGAAAACCCTAGCTTCTTGAAGAACTGCCCCTTTCTCAATTCCAAGAAACGGAGAGTACTCTGCTGCATATATCAAAGAAATCCATATCAAATAGAATGTGGTTGAAGAGATCCCTACCTCAATTATCATTAAATCATTGAAATACATGGATCTATATCCTCTCCCACTTATTCGAGGTGTATAAAATTACTGATGGACAATATTTGGATGCTGAAATCAGTTACTAGCAGGATATAGTCGTGTTTGGTAAGATAGCTGAAAACTAGAATGCTCTTGCAGATGTGCACAGATATCATTTATGTAATGTATTACTGTCTTGTTATAAATTACAGTGATCTAAAAGTTCAATCGTAGTTTCATCACAAATCCCTAATCAAATCAGTCGACGTACAAGGAAGAAACCTAATTCACAAACGCCAAACATCATAGCCACCCAGATCAACTGATCTAATCATCCTACGAGCTTTCAAATCACCTCCACTACGATTATCGTTGCGAAAATAGTGGAGCTCAATGTAAATCTAAAGACTGAATAGTAAATAATCTGATTCGTACAATAACAACGAATAAATTCAGGAACTAGATGTATCGAAGAAAATGAAGAATTTATTCTTAAAATCGAACCAAATTTTCAGGTAGAATATATAAAGTTCAGAGGCGTGTACCTTCCTCGTCGCGATCATCGTCTTTCTTCACGAACTGCGCCATAGAAGCGATGTAGGTTCAGATTTAACCTAAAAGTTCAATTACTCGGAAAGATCTAGCAGATCTATATGCGTCTCTGTATCTCTTCTATATGTATTTGAGGCCAACCGAAGCTTTTATCAATGGAGAAATGAGATAGCAAATCTCTCTTCACAAGTGAAGTTTTTTAAAGGTCTGAGCTTTCGCTATTTTCGTTGTAAAACACAACATAAGGGTATTTTAATTTTTAGAAAAAATATAAGTTTTTTTTTTCTTTTTGTTTGGGATGTAAAAAAAAAAAAATATATATATATATATATATATATATATATATATATATATATATATATATATATATATTATAAAAGTCCTAAATTTTTAATGCGTAATTGGAAAAATATTTAATATTTTTTTTATTATTGCTATGGCCACAACTTTCTCGCAGGATTATTATTCTAGCCCACTTAACGAGTTTCATGGTTAACGTGGTTAAATTTTTTTGCAAAATCAGTCTTAAAAAGTTCAAATTTTAGTCAGTGAGGTTTGCAAAAATTACACCACATGGTTTTTTAATTTTTATTTTTCATTTTTTGTATACTTTATTTATTTTCGGTTTTTTATAAATATATATACATTTTTTATTTTCTTTTTTTATATAATTTATTTATTTTCATTTTTTAACTTTATTTTTCAACAATTTGATTTTTTTACCTTTTATACCTTTTGTTTTCTATTTTTTTCTATCTTCGTTATTTATGGTTTTTATAATGTTTTTATTTATTTTGATTCAAGTAAACGAACTCGAATTTAATATAAATTACTATAACAAGTTTTTTATAGAGACCGATTATTATTATTATTATTATTATTATTATTTTCTTTTAGTCTATTATCAAATTGAAAAATATTATCTTGAATTTAAACTATTGATATCACATATAAAAATATGATTTAATTTCCAAGTTATATAACACATTGAAACACTAATTCTCAATAAACAAGCTAATTTTTGTTTTAATTTTCATTTTTTCGTAACATAAATATAATAGCACTAAAGAAAAAAAAAGTAAAAAATAAAATAAGTTGGACCGAAATTACAAATATAAACATAACAAATTTATTTACTTGAATAAAAATAAAAAAATTACAAAAACTATAAATTATATAAATTGTAATATAATCTAATATATTAATACATTTTATATTTTTTGAAAAAGGTCAATAAAAAGTTAAAAATACAAAAAAAATAATAAAATAATTGGAAAACAAATAAAAAAAGATGAAAAAATTAAAATATAATACGAAAAGAAATATGAAAAAAAAAACTAAAAAAAAGGTAAAAAGGTAAAAAAAATCAAATTGATGAAAAATAAAGTTAAAAAATGAAAATAAATAAAGTATATACAAAAACGAAAATAAAAAATGTATATATATTTATAAAAAAACCGAAAATAAATAAAGTATACAAAAAACAAAAAATAAAGTTAAAACATCATGTAATTTTTTGCAAACCTCAGGGACCAAATTTGAACTTTTGGGACTGATTTTGCAAAAAAAAATTAACCAAGTTAACCATGAAACTCGTTAAATGGGCTAGAGTGATAATTCTGCGAGAAAGTTGTGGCCATAGCAATAATAAAAAAAATATTATGGCTTTTTCCAATTACGGGTTAAAAATTTAGGGCTTTTATAATATTAGTCCATGAAAAAAAACCACAATTATTTATACATAGGAAAATTTCCAGAAAAGTCCTAAAATTTTACCCTAATTTACGAAAAAATCTCAAACTAAATTTTGTTTACGAAAAAGCATAAATTACCGGTAAAAATGACGATTTGACCCCGTTTTCCCTTTTCTCTATGTAACATACATTTTACTGGTTTCATTGTTGACCCGGACGCCTAGTCATTAAATGAGATGATGAGATGAATATGTTTGAGTTATATAATGTTATGTTTAGCATAAAACTTGATATCCTGATGTATGGTATATTCTTTTGGAACATAAAATGCATCCAACAAAGACTGCAATAATTACATAAACTAGCAACAACTGCGTTATTTTTTACGTTTATAAGAAATATCAAATTGTCTATCTAATCTTATGTAACCCAATATATTCATCTCATGAGACATCAACTCATTTTCTGCCCTTTTTTCCTGGAAACACACATTTTATTGGTTTTATTGCTGACCTAGATACATAGTCATAAATGAGCCGATGAGATGGATATCATATTTTACAGTAAATGTAGCATTATATAACCCATCGTATCCATCTTATCAGCTAATTTAATGACTAGGTGTTTAAGTCAGCAATGAAACCGATAAAATGTATGTTACATGAAGAAAATGGTCAAATCATTACAAAATTTTAGTTTGGGACTTATTCGCAAATTAGGGTAAAATAATGAGACTTTAGTGAAACTGGTAAGTAATGAAACCGGTAAACCTGAAAAAAAAAAAAAAAAGGGTCAAATCGTCATTTTTACCGGTAATTCATGCTTTTTCGTAAACAAATTTTAGTTTGGGACTTTTTCGTAAATTAGGGTAAAATTTTAGGACTTTTCTAGAGATTTCCCTTTATACACATGTCTACAAAAATTTGTAAATTATGTTGTAGCCCAACAAACTTTAGTATATTTGTTTTAAATGATTCCTCATAACGATAATCGTAGTAGACGTGATTTGACACGTGTTATTTACTCCTTCCGCACTGAGTGACTCGATGACACGCATGCATAGATTAATTACAGACATTAATTTCCAACTACCACCCAACAACCCTTAAACTTGTTTCAATCGATGGATTAGGTATACGTATTAAACGAGGACAAACCCATGTGGGGTTTTATGCAAAACAAAATCTCAAACTTCTTTACTCTTTTCGGCTAAACACTCCTCGACAAGAACCATAAAGGAGCAGTAATGTCGGCTCCACCACCTTCACCTGACTCTTTAAATTCCCATGAAGATGTCAACTACGATGTGCTCCATTCCATCTTCTGTGAATGTGGTCAGAAGATTGCAGAGAACCAAACTGAAATGCAGCGATTGAAGGACCAGCTCAGACATGACTACATCGTGTGCAGGATCTACCACATCAGTCTCCAACACAAGTTGGATGACCATGATCAGAAGTTTAAAGTTGTTGGTGTTGCGATGGGTGGAATGATGGTGGGGTTGCTTGTGTTGCTGGTGGTTGGGCTCCATTTCGTTGTTAAGTTTGGGTGAATGGTGGTAAAGAAGCACATAAGTATTTAGATTTTCTGGTTTTTATTTTTTATGCTTTCTTTTTTTTGGCAATATATGTAAAAGACCTGTCTTGATGACACACATTTTGAAACTGAACTCCATTGATTAATGTAAAAGACCTGACTTGATGGTAGGCGTTTTGTAAGTAACATGATCTTTGTTCAAAGTGTGTTCGTATGAACTTATTTTCTAAATTTTATGATGAAAAAAATACGTTAACAGTACATTGTAATTGGGAAGAAGGAAAGAGTATTGTGTTAGTGAACCCCACATGCCTTGCACGGTGAGGGTAATTTAGTCTTTTCCACATACTAGAAATCTGTTAAAAGCTTCTTTTATACCTGCTTGTTTCATTCTCTCACTTTGTTTTCTCCATCAAATACTTCCAACTGTCAAGGTAGATAATGAAGAACATGGAATGTGGATGTAGAAGTCCTGCTATAATACGAACATCGCGTACTAGAAATAACCCAGGAAGGACTTTTTATGCATGTCCCAACAAGGTAAATTGTAGTTTGTTCATCTTGTGATGTTAACCCTAGTTTTCTTAACATTTATTAACTGAGGCACATAATTGTTCGCCAGGATGCCCGTTCAAGTTTTATAGCTTGATTCGATGAAATGCAATGCAACAATGAAGGTGTGATCATAACTGGGTTGATTATGCCGAAGATAAAGCTTTAATATGAGGTGTTTAAGTTGAAGGTCTACCTAATATGTAGTTGGTTTTTTTTTTTGGGGGGGGGGGGGGGTAATTATGTACAAGTTGTAATCAAGGTCATTTGGGTTAAATTATGAACATGTTGTAATGTACTTTTCTTTGGCATGGATGTTTAACATGAATGCATGTGTAATTTGTTAATTTTGCTTATTGTATTACCATTAAAGTTAATGTCTTAAACAATCTAGTGTCCACTGATGTTACCCTTTAAATTATACAAGGACCACAACCAACTAACCAAATTATTAGATCACATGTGTTCAGTGATGTTACAAGGAACACATGTTCCCTTGTAACCTAACCAAATTACCATTGTTTCCTTAAACTATTGACCCCATGTACATTGGGTAACATGCACCATGCACATTCATTACATAACAAGGAAACAAGTACAAATGTGTCTGAAACAAACAAACAAGTAGCAATGTTTATCAAACATACAAAGTTACTACAAATCCAAACATAACAACCAAGTACGACGAAGTACAAACATAACAAGTACAAGAAAGACATGTCCTACTCATTAAGGTCCCTCTTAGCAAGTTTCATCTTGATAATTCTTTCTGATTTCTTTCTTTTACACTTACCCGCTGATTTTTCTCCATTTTGTCCTTTAGAAACTGATTTTGATCCACTGCTTCCTACACCAACTCCTTGTGCTCTTTCACCATTTTCACAGACTGATGTAACACTCGGTTTCGAATCGTTTCATTATTCGGGGCCGTGGCCCGATTATTGGTTATCATAAGGCTTAGGGCGTTGGGGAAGGAGGGATTTGGCCCTTTTTGGATGTAGGTGGCATAGATTAAGATATTCGAGTGTTCGTTTGTGTTTCAGAGCCCAAGGGTATAATCGTAATTTGTTAGTTTGGCAATTTATGAATTTTGGGTTCTTGTTCAGAAAGTTTTAAGGCGAGGGTGAGTTGATAGAAGTTTAGGGCTTCTCGTAACCTTTACGTGGATATAAAGTTCGTTGGAAATGGACTTAGGGTGAAGAAGTTAGGGTAGAATGAAGTTTTAGGGTTTTGGAGGGTCATCTAGTACGCAGGGCGTACTAGATGTGTATGCGGGGCGTACCGATTAAGTTGGTCGTGGGTGGTCAATGAGTACGTCGAGCGTACTAAGAGGTACGCGGGGCGTACTCCCTTCAGCACCAAACCCTAATTTTGGGGTTTTACCCCTATATAAGCAACATTATATCCTTCATTTGGTCATTTTAGGTCAGCCTTCACCC